TCATTTCTTTTCGTCAAGCAGGTGAACTGCGATTTATGGACAGCTTGGAAGCAGAGCAGATGCGTGGTATCACGATGAAGTCCAGTGCTGTGGCACTTTTCTACAATCCTACACTGAAACTTAGTCGGCAAATTTCTCCACAAGCTGCTGCTGATGACCCGAACTCCTATTTGATCAACCTCATCGACTCACCAGGACACGTGGACTTTGCTTCAGATGTTTCCACTGCAGTTCGCCTTTGTGACTGCGCTATGATTGTTGTGGACGTTGCTGAGGGTGTATGCCCTCAAACACGGGCGGTCCTGCGACAAGCCTGGAACGAGCGTCTTACTCTCATCCTTGTCTTGAACAAGATTGACCGGCTCTTTCTACAGCTTGGTCTCTCACCCATTCAAGTATACGACAAACTTCTGCGAGTGTTGGAGCAAGTCAACTCAGTTCTGGCTGAAATGTTCACTGCGGACGTGATGCAGCAAACCCACGGACGAAATGTTGATGTGTGTGTCGTTTTTTGTGGCGATAAGAGTAGCATAGGCTGGTTGGAACTTTTGATAACGTTTCTGTTATCCTCCCCAATCATTGGCTTTTATACTGTTTGGCTGTAAAATAAGCTCAAGCTTGCTTTCTATTAATTCAGAGTTTCAGTTCTTCCACAAACTAGGGTTTGCATTAACTATTCTGTTCCTTTTGAAACAATGCGGAAATCAATGTATAGTGGTAAATTTCTACGGCTTCATTCAGGTTGGTCCTTATGCGTGTGCTTTCTAGGGAGGCTCGGCAATGCAATCGGCGGGGGGGACGTACACATGGAGTACTGGTTTAGAAACAACGGATGATTCTCACGTGTACTTTTCACCCGACAGAGCCAACGTTCTTTTTACCTCCGCAGTCGACGGTTGGGGCTTTCGTATCTCCGACTTCGCTGATTTCTGGTCAGAGCGGATGAAAATTCCGAAAAAGGGCTTATTGAAAGCTCTATGGGGTGATTACTACTTTATCAGTTCGCCCGATGGAAGTCCATCCAGGGTCAAGCCCCATGCCAGAGCCAAAAATAAAAAGCCTGTTTTCGTCCAGCTCATCATCGATCAGTTATATCGCATTTACAAGGTACTTTCTATTGTGTTCCAGATCGATTGAGCGCACTGAGGCCTAAACTTTCCTAAATGCACCAATTCGTTTTCGCTTAGACGATTGTTGTGGACAATGATCGCGACATGGCGCCTCACATAGCCGAACGTCTAGGCGTTAAGCTGGAGTCGCGTCTGTACCAGCAAAACGCGGACAGTCGAATGCTAGTGCGCTCGATTCTCGGCATCTGGCAACCTCTTGGAACGGCCATTTTCCGAACTATTGTGGATATCTGTCCCAGTCCACTAACAGCTATAACTCGTGAAAGAGCTCGGTATATGCTTTTCGGCGAGTCTTCAGTTACACAATTTTCCAGCGAAGATACAGCTCCCACAAGCAATGGTGGCATTGCAGGGCAGTCAGTTTTGCGAGATGCTGTGTGTTGTAGTAATGGTGGTAGTGAGGAGGACTATGGGGAAGATGGATCTGCGGCCTTTCCTGCAATCACTGGTGATTTGGCCCAATTGGCTAAATTTTACTTAGTAGTTACAATGGCGTAGTCATTTTTGCTGGGAGATTTATATTCAGTCTTTGCTTTTCGCCCTTGTTGTTTTCGCCCATGTTTCTCTGAGTGTTTGTTCCCCTTTTTAGCTTTGCAGGCTTGTAGTTCGAATGCTGATGCGCCCGTAATCATCTTCGTATCGAAGGTCTTTTGGGCGGATAAGCTGAAAAATGCCTTCTCTACCATCGTCTTTCCCAAGGATGCTTCGAAATCAGCTCCGTAAGCTTCACTTTAAGTCAACCTTATAAACTTGCCAAGGAAAACTGCTTGCCTTTTTTTCTAAAGTGCATTTTCTTGAAGCCGACTTGGAGTACGATGTGGTGTTATAATTTTGTAAGCAAATAGTTTAATGCTTGTGCTTTTTGTAAGGGAGGAAGTTCGTAGTTGTTTGCAGTCGACATCTTAAATGAATGCATGCCTTGAACAAATGTCTTGACGTTTAAACTGTGGGATGGATTCTACTACACATTTTTGTGTTCCAACGAACTGATAGTAGCATCGATTTCATTACTTCTAACGCGTTTACTTTGGGCACTCTTGTTTCCTCTCGCAGACCCAAATATGGACAGTTTCCATCGGTTTCCAGACTCACAACACCTAGTCGGATGGTCTTTCGCCGCGATAATGCTGAGACGACAAACAATTCAGCAACTAGCCCCTTTTCGGACACTGAGTTCGTGGCGCTTTCGCGGATCTACAGCGGTCGAGTCAAGGATGGTCAACGGATATTTGTTCTCGGACCAAAGTTTGATGGGAGCAACGTGAGTGATCTCCATTATTGCCCAGTTGAATACCGATAGAACGATTATTAATGAGGGTTTTTCTACTTGCATTGTCAGATTCCCAAATGTCTCTTGGATGCGAACCCGGCAGACTTGCCTCTTGGGCCTCTGCATATACCTGAGCCAGAGGAGGATGAGGTAACCTCTCCAGTCCAGGTTCGCCACCGAACCTCATCTTCTTCGTCCCTTTCATCTAATCTGAGTTCCACGCTCTCTGCCGGTTCCATTGGTGGCTCAGGTCATTACAAAGATCAAGTTCTCCGCCATGTTTACGTAGGGGAGATCGTTGATGTTGTCCAATTTTGTGGTGGTCAAAACAACGTTTTCCACCTGAAGGACCCCTCCTGCCCTATTAAGTCACTCAGCGCAGGCAACGTGGTTGGATTAATGGGCGCCTCAATCATAACCAGTTTACCCAAGTCGGGCCTTCTGGTGTCGAGTTTACGTCTGGTTGCCACCTCGGAGGCACGCCGTGTCCTGCCTCTTGCTGGGCTAGCAATTTGGCACGGCGCACCCGTCGTCTCCCTTGCTATTGAGCCCGCCAGCGCCACTGATCCAAACGATATGGTGCGCTTGGAGAACGGCCTTCGACTTCTTGAACGCTCCGACCCATGCGCTGAATTGACCTTCTCATCCAAGGGCGAATATCTCCTTCATGCTGCAGGTGAAATTCACATGCAAAAGTGCCTCGAAGATCTTACTACGTATTTCGCTCCAGACCTCGAACTGCACACCTCGCCCTTTTTGGTGCCCTTCAGGGAAACCGTCACAGAAGCCTGTCCTCCCGCTTCCTATGTCCCATTTGATTCTCTGGCCTTTGCTAAAGCACAGTTTGAGCGAGAACTTAAGGAGAAGCACTTAGTATTCGACGATACGAAGGAAAATTGTGTACGTCTCTCTGCAGGTAGTGAGGAAGGGGCCCTTCCGCAGCAACCGAGTCTTCAGCAAATAACTTGTATGGAGACCTCCGATCCTACGCGCTATCTTCCACTGGGCATGCTCCAGCTACCGCACAGCAAGTCACGTACTCGCGTTTTTATTCGTGTTACTGCTCATCCCGTGCCCGAAAACTTGCTTACCTGGCTTGAGACTTGTGCTGCTACCTACATGCACCTACTGATGCGTGCCGTCAAACATAAATCCTCTTCCTCGCGTCGTGCTCTCACTTGTTTGAAGAGGTTTGAAGAGGAATTTTCGGCCCAATTGGACGCGGTACCGTCAGAGGCTTGTGAATTTCTTGACTGGCGCTCGCTTAAGGGTCGGCTTCTGTGCATGGGTCCACAACAGGTGGGACCAAATCTCCTCTTCTCTCGTCTTCGGTCTGGTCTCTTTCGTCTGGATACGGCTTGGGGAAAGCCGATACCGCCTTGGTCGGACGTGACTCAGGAGGTAGGGGTCGATCCTATGCCAACAAGCGGGACAGTTTGGGAAGCAGCCGTGCATATCCCCTTCTTGAGCTACGGAAAGGCAATTCTACGGGGATTTCAGATGGCCACAGAGCAGGGACCACTGTGCGCTGAACCGATGCGCGGGGTTGCTTTTGTACTGGAGGAGATCTACGCCGAAGATCGCATCCAACTGCCCGTCCCTCGGATTCTAACTTCTGTTGATCTTCTTGAAGATTCAGATACCGCACAGAAGGTTGCTGAAGTGGATGTAGAACTTGGTGAAGCAGCTGAGACTGTGAGTCATTCGTGAGTATCATCGAGTGCGTGAGTACTTTTGCTGTTCATTGACTTCATGTTCATCCTTTTCTCAAAAGCAGTTCCAATTACTGGGGGAGATTGTTTTAATGGTCTTTTGTTATGCAAAAGCCTCTTGCACAAACTCACTACATTAGCGGACAAGGAATGGTCCGTCGTCCTAATTTGATTGTTCTGTCAGATTCTTGTACGGAATTTGTAACCTCACTATAATGCTTTAGTCTATAAGAGTTTCATCTTCACTTACATCCAGTTTCTGTCCTTAATAACGTATTATTTCGTTTCTTATATCAGGTTAAGTTTCAATAAGTAGTTATTGAGAGCGCATTAGTTGGTATTTAGTCTATTTTAATGCCTTCGTTCATTGCACGCGGCACTTTGTCATGTGATTGTGGCCAGAAATCAGCATGGTACATGGATAGGCCGCTGTGGCATCGTAGTAGAGTCATCACTATCGTTTCTGATGTGCAATTCTCCACGGTATGCCATGTTTCGGTGTGATTTTTTGGCTCATCCTAGGTACCTGAGCCAGTGGGGGAGGCAGCTGCAGAAGAGGATCCGATTCTCGCCGCTCTCAGGGCAAAGCAAGCAGCTATCAAACGGCGACAAAAAGTTGACCCCAATTCCTCTATATCCTGGCTGACTTTGGGAGAGGATGATGACGACGGTAGTAACGATGAGGATCGAGAGGAATATTGTTCGGATTATGACGAAGATTGGTACAATAATGACAATGACAACTGCGATCGAAATATGTCAGAAGTAGAGGAGGAAGAGGACCTCGATTCTATGTTAGACGAAGAACATCCAATCAAATCCGAGGTATTTGTGCAGTCAGATAAATGCGAAAAATTCTCAACAACCTCTTTTATTTTTCTGCGATTAGGGGTTAAGGGGGCATATCGTTCTGGATATGGTAAGAACGATGTGATGTTCCTGTCTCCAATTCTATAACCTTGTCAGTTTGTGGACGTCATGAATACCATGGCATCGGACTAAACACCGTTTTGGTCCCGTTTTTTTGCAGAAGAAGCTTACTCTCAGTGCACACTTCTACTGGCGTCGGCGCAGCGACTATGACTGGCTGTCGGATGTGACACCGGGTCTACTAACTTCTGCAATGGCTCGTGCATGCACTTCTGCCTTCATGGCCTGTCCATCCCAACGACTCGTTCTCTCCATGTATGACATAGAACTCCAGGTAATATCTGTGTATTAATCTACCTCTCGCTCCATACTTGAAATTTGATGATGCAGTCGTAGGAAACTGAAATTTCACCCATTCATCCTCTCGTGACTGATTCAAGGTTTTAGGCCGACATATTTCGACTCTTAACTATACTCCGGGTACTATCTTAAGAATGCTATGGCTTTTACACAAATTCCATATGATTCGGTTTACTCTACTCTGTTGAGTTTCTATTTTATTTGCTTACCAAACTCCCGTTTCATTTAGAGAGTAATGTGGGTATTTAATGGATTTTTTGGGGTTTCAATTTTCTTCATGCTTTTTTTTTGGGCTTATAGGCAAACGTTCTGAGCCCAGAATTAAGACAATTTTGGTGCGTTTTAGAGCTGCGGTACAGTTCCATTTCCTCTGAGACTCATTCATTTTATTTTTGGCTAATCGATGCATGGGTATTAGGTTGGATAACCGACTCGACCTTACAGGGTTTGAGCTGTGTGCCTTTATGTCTATTGCTGGATCTGATTTGATTCCAGCCTCTTGTTAACAGGCATCAAGTTATACGCAAAGCTCATTGTTAGATCGGAATCGGTCTTTCTCACACTTACGTAGGCTTTTTCTCCAGGCTCACGAGTTTCAGACTTCTGTGTTGGAACTACCGTTTATTAATTACTCAAAGCCGATACGATTTAAGTTGATTTTCCGAGTGTTTCTCGCTTTGGTCTTGATTAATCGTTGAATCTCTGTGGTTTTGAAGACAAAAGGCGCTTTGTTATTTGCGCCATCAATGGAACTTGTGAGAGAAAGGTATCCTTTATGAGGTGGGATTTTGGTGCCTATGTTTGGAATCGATCACCCCAAATTCACGAATTTTTAAATTTTGTAGTGTCGAGGTGATGTGTTAGGTCGGATGTATGCGGTGCTGCGGAAGCGCTGCGGTCGGGTGGTAAGTGAGGATATGCGAGAGGGCGAAGAGTGCTTTGTGATTCACGCTCGCCTTCCGGTGGTGGAGAGCTTCGACCTGACCAATGATTTGCGTAAGCGCACCTCGGGCCTTGTCTCGTTGCCTCAGCTTCGACCAGGCGGGTGGGAGGTGCTCGAGGTCGATCCTCTCCAGCGAGACGCCAGCGGCCATATTGCCATTCTCGGAGAGACGCACATCAAGGTGTGGCAGCGCCAACAGGAAGCCATAAAACGACTGAGACTTTCTGAGCGCAATACCACCGACACCATCTCTTCAGCCTTGTCTGGCTCAGGGATGGCTGGTCGATCAATTTCCTCCAATTCGTCCTCCACCTCTGATAGCGAAACAGATGAAGATCTGGCTCAGGCTGAGAACATCAACCAACTCAATCGTCTACGAAGCTATCTTCGAGATGTGCGCAAAAGAAAGGGACTCAAATTACATGAACAAATTGTCATCTCAGCGGATAAACAGAGGACGCTGAAAAAGAATAAATAGTGGCAGTGAAAGCATGGTTACTTGATTCTGTGATCATTTGGTATTTTTCATATACTTGTCCAAACCTCACTTGTACAAAAGTTACACCTTTTCTATCCTCAGGTCATTTTCCTTTCCCTTGGGTGTGGCTCACTTTCGGGCGTTATCTATGTTGCCATTTCCGCCAAATTTTTTTTTCCGGAGGAGGCCCACTATTGATTCCTGAATCTCTCATTTTGTGAAATGGGGTGGAATGTCGTGGGGAAGCTCACTATCTCTTTGCGCATTGGCTCCGATTTCAATGTCACCATGGGCTTTATGGACTGTCAAAGACAGGTCGTGTTGATTTCGTAGGGTTACATTTCTGTTTCGGTTACGTTCTTGGCACAACATTTGTGGCGATGTCGGCTGGCGGTTGGTCTGCTACTTTATCGTACTACTAGTGACCTTCGGGTTGCGTTGACAGTCTTCACCTAACTGCATTCCAGTAGTTTGTTGTAGCTACTTTGAGAGCGTCACAGGGCTCTGCATCAAGGCAAAAAGTGCAGAACCGCTGTCCTACCACGGATTTCTGCGCTTATGGTACTTGCCGTCGAGGTGTCTCGTGCCGACGCTATGTGTTCCATACAAACAATCTTGAAAGCGAAATTACTGCAGTGGGGGGTTGGTATGCCGTCTACTTTTTATTTACGACACCGATTGGCAACTCGATGAATGAAATCACACGGGTATCATCTCGAGGTTGGGCATCGGTGTGGATGGGGTCGCTTTGACTGTCGTCGTGTTATTGCAAGGTGGACTGGCCTTCGAACCAGACGTAGTCTCAATTTTGACGTCTCTATTGGCGAACAAAGCTCTATAGCGTTGCAGTAGCAAACATCGTTTTACTTTTATGAATCCACAAGTCACCATTTAACTCGGAAATCCGGAGTGGTAGTAGAAGTAGAGCAGTAAAATCGCATAAGCGGACTATGCTTTAAAGAATATCAAGTGGCGTGTGGTACTTCAGCGTGGTCGATTATATTTATCTTTGGCATTTAGCTGAAGCTAAACTTGCGCTCTGCGAATTTGATTAATTTTTTACTCATACAAATTTTGCTTCAGATATTCACTCTAATTTTATGCTTTATTTATACTGCATGCATATCAATGCATGGTGTTAGATTTTCATAGTCGTAACGGCCGTAGTCCTATTCCTGATCTGATTGGCGGATCCGTACTTTGGTGCTTAGCCTTTATACATACAGCGTCGATGCCTTCGTGGGGCTTGCCTAAAGTCACATGGATGTTTCTGATGAAATACTCGATCAAGAGGCATGTTTATTCTACGAAAACGTCAGAGCTCTTGTAGTTGTATTTTTAACTGTCTCAGTTCTTCTTGTGCTGTCATACATCATTGTCGTCTCAAGGAGGAAATACAAGGAACCTTGCCTTTCCAAAGATGACGTATATGTGCACAGTTTTGTGATGGGGATATGCACAGCCACGATGGCCTTAAGTATTATAATGCTTTTTATGCTTCCCCTGTCCATCCTTGCCAACGAGGTACTAATATTATTTCCTGACTGCTACTACGTTCAGTGGATCAGTGCGGGACTGCTACACACCTTCTTTGTTTTTGTTCAGGTTGCATTTAAAGGAACATGTATCCTGATCCCGTTTGGCTTTTTCTTTTTGTCTTCGCACAGTGTGTATACGGGGAGCAAGGCCGTATCTTCACGTTTTTTTTATTCGATACTGTATCTTGCAATAACGTATCTTGCTTCGTTCGGAATCTTAACCACTTTTCTCTCTACATTTGCGCTTACATTTAGGCTCTCCAACATCACCAGTGCTACTGACCTTCTTGTGAGGCTTCTTCCTCGCGCCTGCTTTAATTCAACATTCTTTTATTATTCGTGGCCGTTGCAACTCTTTGGTGACATTGTCTGTTGCCTGGACAGTACTTTAACGCTTATACAGCAATCCGTCTCTTATATCGGTTTGGGACTTCTGCTGATTTGCATCCCCAGTGGAATCCGTAGTATAATTATTCAGATGATGAAGGTTTCTACAGCTCAGTCTTTACGTTCTCTATCGAATGATGTCTACTTTCGGCAACTGATGGATGAGAAGTATCACCTTCAACTTGAAGGGTGTTTGAACTATATTGAGAACCTGAACGAGCCACTTCGACATTTATTTAGCTCGCAATTCGACAAGCTAAATTACCAAACTCACTCGTGCTCTTCTGTTGACACTCATTATCACTTATCTTCTTGGGAGCCCGACGACTCATTTGGCATAGATGCATTATCTTGCAATTTAAAGCAGGCTTCCCCTAGAACTGGTTGTTCACTGCTCTCTTCATTGGCCTTCCTCTTTCTCCTGTCAGTGCTTCTTGCTGCCGCCTTGTATGCATCAATAAATGTCATTGTGTTACTCTGTCATCTCTTGGTATCTCGCACCTACGAAATGGCAGAGCACTCTTCCAGAGATGCGATCCTTTTGGGACATGAATCAGCCTCCAAGTTTGGGTTTATTGGCGCAAGCTTGCAAGTATGTTGGATAAGTAACACGAATGAATATCTTACTTGTATTGAATTGCTTCTGTCTGGATACAAAATGGGTTCGCGTTTTAGCATTTTTGTGTTTTGTTACTGTGTGATACATGCATATCCTCCTTTGGTTGTTAAGTGCAACAGTGATGTCAACTAAATCATTAGTCAAATAGCTGAATCGATGGGTAGGGTATACCGTCAACGTCAAAGTAGGTTCCTGTTTCAAAATCAACAGAGTTTCAGTTGTAAAGTTCTGGTTTGAAAAGTTAAAGCTGTTTCACGTATGTTGATGTACGCGCCGCAATCGTCCACTTTTTGGGACTGAAAGTTGGTATAGCGGCATTTTTATTCTTACTGTCAGTTAGCATAGGGTTTGTTGGGAATGTCAAACTGGTACCTCCTGAGATTCTAGGGACTTTTGAGTAAAGATTAAAAGTAAGCTGTTCTTTCAAGCCAAGGAATTGTGTCCAGCTTGGACTGAATGGCCTTATCAATTTTTTCTCAAGTGCCTTGGCTCGTCATTGAATGTTTCTGATTGCTTAGTTTGGAGAATAGGATTTTATTGCTTAAAAGAACTTTATTCAGATAGGTGATACCTGCTGAAGATCTAGCTGTCTAAACCCTAAGCTGAATTAGAGATTTGCATGGGGTTAATCTATTTCAGTAATTTTATATTTATAAGGATGTCTTGGTGTTGATTTGACCCCTAGAAGTCATTATATGTCAATACTTCCCCATTCGCGTTTGCATAAGAATATAATGGGATTATTTTCAACGTTGCGTTGTTTACAACAATCGTTTGCTAATACAATTTTCTCGATTTTCAGATAGGGTTTCAAGTCAATTTCCCTCATTTATGGTACTGATCTAATTTGGGTTAGCTAACTTCACGAAGATGTATTCGTTAAGCGCAATCTTTGCAGGTGATTTGGTCATCGTAACGATTTCTTTATTGGTAAAATTTGAAGGTGCGACTATTACCAAAGGTATTTTATTTTGTGAAAAGTGGCCCTCTGGGACAAGGTTTAGCCATCACTTTTCCTACTGCATGTCTTGCATCAGTTCTCCCTGAAATTTCCATCATTGCACCATTTTTCGGCCAGAATAGATATTGATATTTTCACAATTGTTTGTGGTATTTGTAAAACTCATGAATATATCTTGAACTGTTAGTTTTTCCCATAGACTAGTGTTTTATTGTGATCCTGCTCTGCTTACCCCTTAATAATCCTGGGTTTGTTGTGAAATGTCAACAGGGATATAGGCGTGTTTCACTATTAACAATATATTTACATATGCGTGATAAGTAGTTTGGTTTCTTTTTCTCAAGGCGATGATGGTGGCATTTGTTATCTGCACCAGTCTAATCGGCTTCTACTCCCTCCCTTCGGTGTACAAGCACATCTATCCACGGCCTCATAACTCTAGTATGGGTATCCTCCTCTTTAATGCCACCTGCATCCTCAGCATGTCTTCAGCAGTGCCTCTTCAGGCGAGTTTTCTTGGTCTGGCTACACCCTCCTTTCCTCCAGTCTATTACTCGACTCTAAATGGGGAATTCTGCAGGCCTGCCAATTACCCCTGTCCCCAGCTCCCTCTTCAACCTTTACTCTCACCCTACTCTACCCACTACCTAGACGTCTTTCAGTCAGACGCCTTCTCCCCCAAAGAGTCCTCGAAGCCTCTTCACTACTACAACTTGCAGTTGCAACACCATGAGCAGGACCCCTCACGAGTAAACGCCCTTTGGATGAAATGGCGTCACCCGATCCAATATCAGCATCATCAGCGCACAACGCCTCTGTCGTCGACGCCTCCGACACGGGGATTGATGATAGTGCTGGTCTACAACCTTGGTTTCATTGCCATCTGCTGGCGGCTCTTCCGACTCCATGTCAGGGATCTCGTAAAGGTGAAGGAGCACGTGGTCTCAGCGTGGGTATGGTGGCTGGGTGCCGCCCCTTCGAACTCCACGCCCCGCTAGCCTTTTATCTCGCTCTTCTTCTAATTGAGGTATCGGCAGCATTTACTACTAGTTACGCACAACTTTTTCTTCCACTTTGTCCATCCGTTTCTGAGGGCGCTACGCTTATGCTTTGAGTGTTGCTCTGTTACCCCTCACGTTTTCAATAAAACTGTTGCAGCGTTCCTGTTTTTGCTTGTCTTCGGGCTTTGAAAGTACGCAAATAAATACACCAAAATTAGCTAATTGTCTCGTTTGATGGTTTCCAAACATTTAGGACATAATGTCAAGTGTGTACAGTTCTACAATAACGGGCTCATGAGAGCATCCAACTCTCACACTATAGTGGGAAATATTTCCAATGGCTGTCATACTATTGCCAGACCAGAATCAATCGTGGACGTCTTTAAGCATGCTTTTCTTCTTGATACTGGTTTGTACTTCAGAATCTTTGCGTTGGTTTTCGTTGTGGTAGTTTGAGATTCATGACGAGAGTGGATGAGGAACTCTTTGGAGCCATTAATGTTTTCTTTAAATGCGTCGTCTGTTTGTATCAACCCATGAGCTCGCTGGGCAAGAGATGCATTTCTTGTGTCAAATCTGTGGACAGCTGCATCCGCAGCTGTTTAGAGGTAGGTTCAAGTTCTCTGAGATTAGTCCATACTGTGGACGCATACTTTGCCTATTGATAACACGGTTAGTAAACATGTCTGTTTGCCAACCTAAAATTCCTATCACAACGCGCCCTATTATGCTGGATCGTCGGAAGGGTGACAGTGGGGAGCGGGAAGAATAGCACAATACATAGGGTCTCTGCCTCGTATGTCATTCGTTTTCTGACTCCTGATATGCAAATTGTCACTGGTACAAACCTGGAATTTAGCAGTGTAGACAAAATTCAGGTTGCAGGCCACTATTTTTGTGGACATTAGTTTAATCCACTTATCTTGTTTGATATGGATGAATACAAGGTGGGTGTAATGTTCAGTTTAAATTAAAGAAATTTGTTTTGGCACATACTGGGAGTCTTATCTAAACCGACTTTGTTTTTCACATTCTCGAGTCGCCTGTAGAAAGTCGCAAAAGCGACAAGGAGTCGACAAAATACTACATCCAAGAGACTGCTCTCAGCGGTCTCCAGGCAATCACTACCGCTTAATAGGATTATTCTCGTTAAACCGCAAAAGACAGCATTGTTTCTCCTGTGGCTGACATTTATTGTCCTTGTTTGAGACAGAAAATTGGCGTTACTTCTGCTATTTTCTTCTCTATGCGAAATGGGTGACTGTTTACGCCGTCAAAATCCGCTTTTGTAGTGACTGTGGTGAGACAGTGTTAACCTACCTCGCATGGCACTATAGGCGCGGAACCCCTAGCCTGTGTCAGTAAGTCCTTGTTCCACCAATTTCCAGCTTTAAAAAGCAAATAAATAATTCTAGCTAATTAAACTATTTCAACTTTAATGACTCAGTAATAATTTTAGGATGTGT